GGACAAATGTACCCCGGTGCCATGACAGCCAAAGGAAAGGACAAATGTACCCCGGTGCCATGACAGCAGCGGCAACTGTTAGCGAAGCAGCAGCTCTGCTGACGGGTCAAGTACCGCTCATTCCACAGATGGAGCCCGCATGTCGTAACTAACAACACAAACCACCTCTCACCTGTGGTCTCCGCAGTTCAACACCACTCTCATTCGCCCCCCGGCACGACGGCGCACCTAATAACCCTCCCTGCTGCGCCATGTGCTCACATCACATGCTCTTGCCTCCTGTCACCTGCCGCTGCTGGCAGACGAAAACGTGGCGTCTTGGCTCACCTGCGGTCGCAGCAGCTCCACCACCACTCGCACTCGCCCCCGGCACGACCTGTGTGCTACAAGCCCTCGAATGAGCTGCGCCGTGTCCTCACTCTCTGGGTCCTGTGGGTGCATGGGTAGGCAAGGGGACACGGCAATGAGCCCTCTGCTTCATTGCTTGCCACAACAGTGGGCAGAGAGGGGAGCACTGGCTGTACAGTGGTGGTGGTCCGGGACTCACAGCAGCCAACAACCCTACAAAGATTGCCCATGGCAGCGCTCACACGGGCCACAAACACCCACCTCTGCACTCACACGGGCCACAAACACCCACCTCTGTGTTCCGATTGGCCAGCAGGTAGATGGCAAGGGCGTCCTTGGCAGCCACACGATCAAAGTCATCTGGACGGTCCATCTGGCCCTGCATGTAGCTCGCCTTGCCCTGGAAAAACCCCAGAAGCGCCTTGAGGGCGAAGCTGCAGAGCCCACGGGGAGGGGGTAGGGAAGCAGGGGAGTGCGCTAGAGTGCGAGGGAAGGACCACGGAGGGAAACAACGTGAGATGCGTTGTAAGGGCCATCCGCTCCTACATGTGGCTCGCCTTGACCTGGAAGAACCCCAGTAGCGCTTTCAGGGCGAAGCTGCGAGGCGAGGCGAGGGGGAGAGAGAAGGTGGATGGAGAGGATGAGGGTAGAGCTGGACGAGGGTAGAGCTGGACGAGGGTAGAGCTGGACGAGGGTAGAGCTGGACGAGGGTAGAGCTGGACGAGGGTAGAGCTGGATGAGGATAGAGTTGGACGAGGGTAGAGCTGGACGAGGGTAGAGCTGGACGAGGGTAGAGCTGGACGAGGGTAGAGCTGGATGAGGATAGAGTTGGACGAGGGTAGAGCTGGACGAGGGTAGAGCTGGACGAGGGTAGAGCTGGACGAGGGTAGAGTTGGACGAGGGTAGAGTTGGACGAGGGTAGAGTTGGACGAGGGTAGAGTTGGACGAGGGTAGAGCTGGACGAGAGGAGTGTGTGGTTGAGCATTGTGTAGGGTCCATCTGCCCCTGCACGTAGGTCGCCTTGCCCAAAAGCACGAATGAAGGGAAGGCAGAAGCACAAATGAGAAACTCAGGCGCGACTGAGAGGTAGCAAGAGGCGGAGTGAGTGGCAGCAAGAAAGGGGTGGAGCTCATGACTGGAGTGCGGTGCGGTGCGGTGCACTCACGAGGGGGGGTCTGGTCCCATGAAGACCACCTTGAGAGGATAGACGGGGATTCCTGGTGACCGGGGGGAGGGGGAGAAGAAAGGGGAGAGCGATGCAAGGGAGGACGGAGGGTAGGAGGACAAGTGGCATTGTTCGCCCTCCTATTGTATGCAAATATGCATATTCTCCACGGCAAGGCAAGATGTGATGGTGGCACGGGAGCGGGCACGAGCTCAAGGAGACGGGGAGGGAGAGATGGAGATGGAGAGACTCCTAGGAAGGGCGCATTCCAGCAGAGGATCGATGAGGGTGAACAAAGTCAGCCAAGTCAACAAAGTCAATCTAGGCTGCAGAGTCAGCAAAACGAGGTAAATGCACTGCTGCCGTTTCGCAGCAGCGAGACGAAGGAGCAGAGCAGGTCACGAGCGCATGAGAGAGATTGGAGTGGCAAGCAGTGGGATCACAGTGCCCAAGTTAACGGGGCCAAGAGGGTCAATGCGTGAAGGAGGTGGGTGCACTGACTGCCGTTGTGCAGCGGGGAAAAGAAGGAGGAGAGCAGGTCGCGAGCGCACTGCACGGATGACACCCCCCAGATCACCACAAAGCGCACCCCCACCGTGCGGTAGCGCGACAGCGATCCGCCGTAGGGACTGGCAGTGGGAGGAGTGGCACACGTGGAGAGGCACACGTGGAGAGGCACACGGGGAGAGGCACAGGGGGCGCATGGAGTAATATGAAGGGAGCACTGCACGGAGGCCACCCCCAGAGGACCATGAATCGCACTGCCACCGTGCAACGGTAGCACGACAGCCACCTGCCGTAGGGACTGGTGGAAGGGGGAGGGTGTCTAGGCTAGTACCTTAGGTGTGTCTCGCTCTTGCCATGTACGCGCCCTACCTTTCATGCCTGTGCCTTTATAATCTACTACCACGGACAACTTGGGTTGGGGGGTGGAGGGTGTAACGAGCAGAAGAAGTGGAAAGGTCCATGGGGAGAGATGGAGGGGGGACGGTGGAGATGAGTGCCAGCCGGACCGGTGGACTGAGGGGAACAGGCTGGCCCAGGGGGGTGACAGGGGTGCTGCTGCTGATGCTTCTGCTGCTGCTGGTGCTGCTGCAGGTGCTGCTGCTGCTGGCACTGCTGCTGCTGCTGCTGCTGCTGCTGCTGGTGCTGCTGGTGCTGGTGCTGGTGCTGGTGACAGGGGTGTCAACTCGTTTTTTAGAATTCTCACAAACGGATCCCAGCAGGGGGTTCAGTGCAGCGGGCTATTCTAACAGTTGGGCGCGAGATGCACGAGGCAGGCGACCTGCAGCGGAATGCAGGTGGGCACGGCGCACAAGGTTGTATCACGCTGGCCACTGCCAGCGACCACTGCCAGCGACCACTGCCAGCGACCACTGCCAGCGACCACTGCCAGCGACCACTGCCAGCGACCACTGCCAGCGAGCGATCACTGTCAGCGACACCCAGAGATGAAGACTGCACCGGCAGGCTGCGCCAGAGGGCTATGCCATGCATGCGGCAGGGGGCTAGGCCATGCATGCGGCAGGGGGCTAGGCCATGCATGCACTCACCGGTTGGAGGCGAGCTGCACGAGGCGGTTGACCTGCAGCGGAATATAGGTGAGCGCGCCGAATATGGTGAACACGGTTACCACGCGACCCCAGGCGGAGTGCGGCGTCACGTCACCATACCCCACTGTTGCCACCTGGTGGGCGGCGCATGGGGTGGGATGAGAGGGCAGGTGGGGGCAGTGCGGGGGAGGACGAAGGTGGGGGCAGCGCAGAGAGGAAGCAGTTCCAATGGGACACTTGGTGCAAGCAGCAGTGCTGCAGTGAGAGCATGCAGGTGCGCTTGGGGAGGCGAGAATGAGCGCATGCATGAGGAAAGGCGTACAGCACATGCATGAGGAAAGGCGCCCAGCACATGCATGAGGAAAGGCGCCCAGCTCATGCTTGAGGCAGAAAGAGTCTCACCGTGACGACCATCGGAGATCAAATCTACAACAGTGAAGTGAGGGAATGAATTCTCACCGTGACGACCATGAAGTAGAAGGAGTCGAAGAAGTTGGTGCAGCCACTCTGAGGGCACTCGTGCTCCGTCTTATACGCGTCACTTGTGCCCCAGTACTCCGCGAACTGGAATATGCCCGCTCCCACCAGCACTGGCGCGGAAGGGAAGGGGGAAATGGGGGAAGGGGAGGTGGTAGCTGATAGGTGGGAGAGGGCAATGATGGTCTGGTTGTCTAGATGGTCCCTCCCCCAGTACCCCGCATACTGGAATATGCCTGCGCCCACCAGCACTGGCAGGGATGGCAGGAAGGGGACGTGGAAGAGATAGTACGAGGGAGAAGGCAGCTGTGCTCGGCCTAGTGTGATTCAGGTGAGCCCTTATAGGTGGGAAAGGCCCTTACAGGTGGTGAAAAGGCTTACAGGTGGTGAAGAGAGTGAACCCGAGGGCAATGATCTCTTTGGCGATTGTGTTGCGCATGGTGAGCGCCGCCTTCACGATGGATATGGTGCTGCACGATGGAGCGGTGGGGGGAGTGGGGGGTGGGGGGGGGAGCAATGTAAAGAACCAAGAAAGGGGTATTGCGCATGGTGAGCGCCACCTTCACTATGGATATGGTGCTGCACGGTGGAGGGGGGGGGGGTGTGGATGGGGATTGGGGGGGAGAGCAATGTAAAGGGCCTGGAAAGGGGTGTTGCGCATGGTGAGAGCAACGCCTCCACCGTGGATATGGTGCCGCATGGGGGAGGGGGGAGAGGGAGACGGTAAATTCGTTTTGAGACGTCTCAAAATGAGACGACTAACACACGGGTTGGAGGGGGGGAAGGGAGACGGTGTTTGAGTCGACTCAAAGAAGGGAGACGGTGTTTGAGTCGACTCAAAGAAGGGAGACGGTGTTTGAGTCGACTCAAAGAAGGGAGACGGTGTTTGAGTCGACTAAAAGAAGGGAGACGGTGTTTGAGTCGACTCAAAGAAGGGAGACGGGGAACGACCAGGAAAGGGGAGGGGTGTTGCTTATGGTGCGAACGACCTTCACTATGGATATGGCGCTGCGGGGTGGAGGGGGAGAGGGGGAGCAAGGGGAGCAAGGGAAGCGAGAGCTGCCTTTGCGGTGGATAGGGGAGCTGCTGGGTTTGGGTGGGATGGGAAGGGCAAGGTAAGCGTATGGATAGCAGCTGGTGGGGCGATGAAGCGGGGTGATGAAGCGGGTTGATACGAGGAAGCACAAGGGGTGAGAGAAGGAGCTGGGCGGATGGCACTTGAGTTCATTCAGGGTCCAGGGGCTGGGGGGAAGCGGGTGGGGGAAGGGCTAGGGAGAAGCGGATGGGGGGAAGGGGCTGGGGGGAAGTGGGCTGGGGGCGAGGGGCTGGGGGCGAGGGGCTGGGGGCGAGGGGCTGACCGGATGACTCGAAGGAAGGTGAGGAGCTGCGGCAGGCGCACGCTGGTGCTGCTGCTGCCCACATCGCGGTTCCTGGCGTGGCGTGGCATGGGGGGCATGGCATGGCATGGCATGGCATGGCATGGGATGGCATGGCATGGCATGGCATGGCATGGCATGGGATGGCATGGCATGGCATGGCATGGCATGGCATGGCATGGCATGGCATGGCATGGCATGGCATGGCATGGCATGGCATGGCATGGCATGGCATGGCATGGCATGGCATGGCATGGCATGGCATGGCATGGCATGGCATGGCATGGGATGGCATGGCATGGCATGGCATGGCATGGCATGGGATGGCATGGGATGGCATGGGGGGCGTGTGTGGTGGAAGAAGTGAGGGACGAGCAGGGAAGGTGGAGGGTGGCACAAAGTGGCAGTGCACGGATGGATAAAGGCAACCTCATTGCCATGCGTGCATGCTGATGCCGTGCCCAACACAAGAAAGCCCTAAGCTAAGGAGAAAAGTGGGGACGAGCACAGGCGCATTCCAGCGCAGGGCGAGTGAGAGTGGCCTACGAGCAAACTGGCTTTAAGGCGCCTCAGAGACCAGTCCAAGCACAAGGGAGTACGAGAGTGGCGTTAGGGCAATGAGGGCGGCTCACAGGCGGACGAGGACAGCTCACAGGCAGACGAGGACGGCTCATGGGCGGACGAGGATGGCTCACAGGCGGACGAGGACGGCTCACAGGCGTACGAGGACAGCTCACAGGTGGATGAGGACAGCTCACAGGCGGATGAGGACGAGGGGCAGCAGCGAGATGAGGTCCAGCAGGCCATGCCACGAGATGACGTAGTGCACCCACGAGTATGCACTGTGGGGAGGCGGGGACGGGGGGGGACGGGGCGGGGAGAGGGGGGACGGACAGGGGGCATGGGGGTTGCACGGGGGGCACGGGGGGGCACGGGGGGGCACGGGGGGGCACGGGGGGGCACGGGGGGACAGGGGGGACAGGGGGGGACAGGGGGGGAGACGTCTTTTGAGTGTGCTTTTGAGTTGACTCAAAAGCGAGATGAGGTCCAGCAGGCCACGCCACGAGATGACGTTGTGCACCCACGAGTACACACTGTGGGGAAGGCGTGGACCGGGGGGGGGGAGGGGGAGGGGGAAAAGACATTGAGGTGGGAGGGATGGGGGGGAGGGGGGTAATGCAGCGAGGGGGAAGGCAGGCACCTGAAGACACACCTGAAGACACACCTGAAGATGTTCGTGGCACAGTCGAAGAGGAAATAGGAGCTGAAAACACACCTGAAGTGAGGAAGCACGCACCTGGCGACACACGCACCTGAAGATGTTGATGACATAGTCGAGCAGGAAGAAGGAGCTGAAGACGGTCTGCAGAGTGACCATCCACTCCACGCTGTTGTCGGGATTGTAGCTGGAGGAGGGGCGGCGCGCAATGGGGGAAGGAATACGTGGAAAGGGGGAAGGGAGACGCGGAATGGGGGGAGGGAGAGGCGCAATGGGGGAAGGGAGACGCGGAATGGGGGGAGGGAGAGGCGGAAAGGGAGGGCAAATGAGCTCTGGGGCGGATAGGGCTCTGGGATGGCAGCTGGGGGGCGGGAGGAAGGACGGGAGGAAGGACGGGAGGAAGGACAGGAGGAAGGACAGGAGGAAGGACGGGAGGAAGGACGGGAGGAAGGACGGGAGGGGAACATGGGTGCGTGAGTGGAGAGGGGGGATGAGAGGCGGGGAAACTGCTGGTTGCACATTGCACAGGCTCCTATGTGCGCTACACGCCATGTCACCACCGTTGGAGCGAGACATAGAGCGGGGAGCAGCAGCAGGGGTAGGATGCCCTGGGGTGGACTCACGTGTGCCACACATAGAGCGAGACGGACCCCATCGTCGCCACCACGTCCAGCTGAGAGGGGCGCAGCAGAGCGGGCGGGGGGAGGAGGAGAGAGGGTGAGGGGAGCAGCAGAGCGGGCGGGAAGGAAAGAGGGCGCGGGGAGCAGCAGTGGGGGTGTGAGCGTAGGCGGGCGAGTGGCCCCTTGGAAAGCAGGTGGGTGGTAGGCAAGGGCACGAGGGCACGAGGGCAGGGTGGCAAGAGGGCAGGAGGGCAGGGGGCAAGAGGGCAGGGGGGCAAGAGGGCAGGGGGGCAAGAGGGCAGGGGGGCAAGAGGGCAGGGGGGCAAGAGGACAGGGGGGCAAGAGGACAGGGGGGCAAGAGGACAGGGGGGCAAGAGGGCAGGGGGGCAAGAGGACAGGGGGGCAAGAGGACAGGGGGCAAGGGCAGGGGGCAGAGGACAGGGGGCAAGAGGACAGGGGGGCAAGAGGACAGGGGGGCAAGAGGACAGGGGGGCAAGAGGACAGGGGGCAAGAGGACAGGGGGGCAAGAGGACAGGGGGGCAAGAGGACAGGGGGCAAGAGGACAGGGGGGCAAGAGGACAGGGGGCAAGAGGACAGGGGGGCAAGAGGACAGGGGGGCAAGAGGACAGGGGGGCAAGAGGACAGGGGGGCAAGAGGACAGGGGGCAAGAGGGCAGGGGGGCAAGAGGACAGGGGGGCAAGAGGACAGGGGGGCAAGAGGACAGGGGGGCAAGAGGACAGGGGGGCAAGAGGACAGGGGGGCAAGAGGACAGGGGGGCAAGAGGACAGGGGGCAAGAGGACAGGGGGGCAAGAGGACAGGGGGGCAAGAGGACAGGGGGCAAGAGGACAGGGGGGCAAGAGGACAGGGGGCAAGAGGACAGGGGGGCAAGAGGACAGGGGGGCAAGAGGACAGGGGGGCAAGAGGACAGGGGGGCAAGAGGACAGGGGGGCAAGAGGACAGGGGGGCAAGAGGACAGGGGGGCAAGAGGACAGGGGGGCAAGAGGACAGGGGGGCAAGAGGACAGGGGGGCAAGAGGACAGGGGGCAAGAGGACAGGGGGCAAGAGGACAGGGGGGCAAGAGGACAGGGGGGCAAGAGGACAGGGGGGCAAGAGGACAGGGGGGCAAGGGAGGGGGGGCAGGGGGGCAAGAGGACAGGGGGCAGAGGACAGGGGGCAAGAGGACAGGGGGGCAAGAGGACAGGGGGGCAAGAGGACAGGGGGGCAAGAGGACAGGGGGGCAAGAGGACAGGGGGGCAAGAGGACAGGGGGGCAAGAGGACAGGGGGGCAAGAGGACAGGGGGGCAAGAGGACAGGGGGGCAAGAGGACAGGGGGCAAGAGGACAGGGGGGCAAGAGGACAGGGGGGCAAGAGGACAGGGGGGCAAGAGGACAGGGGGGCAAGAGGACAGGGGGGCAAGAGGACAGGGGGGCAAGAGGACAGGGGGGGCAAGAGGACAGGGGGGCAAGAGGACAGGGGGGCAAGAGGACAGGGGGGCAAGAGGACAGGGGCAAGAGGGGGGAAGAGGACAGGGGGGGAAGAGGACAGGGGGGGAAGAACACAGGGCGCAAGAGGTTGTTACAATCTGGAAGAGGCGAGCGAGCGGTCCCTTGGAGAGCATGGCTCGCAGGCGCATGGGCAGGGGGATGCGGCCGAAGAGAAAAGCGTCGTCGTAGCTCGCAAGCACGTCCTGCACGGTAAGGGGGTTTGGGGGGGGGTAGGGGGTGGTGCGGGGGCGATCTGAGAAGGAGAGGGGCAGGTACTAGGCGGCAGGATTTGTTCAGAGAAGGGGGCGGTGCCCATTCTCCTTCCAATCGTCCCCATTCCTCCCCCCTCTTCCCTCCCATTCCCCTTTCCCCTCACCCCCTCGCCTCTCCCCCCTTCCACCCCGAACCTCCCCTTCCCCTCTGCCGCCTCTCACATCGGGGGCGTCCACTCGCTTCGCCACGCGGTCCGAGGGTCCCTTAAATCGCGGCCGCAGCCGCAGGCCACTCCGCGCCTGCCACGTGGCCTTCCCCCCAGCCAACCCATCACCGTCCCCGCTCTTCCCCCCGCGTCCTTCCGCTCTCCTCTCTTCTCCGCCACTGCGCCCCTCTCCGCCGCCGAAGCCCGAATTGGCGCGCTCTGGACCCGTCGCTGCTCCCCGACCATCGTCGCATTGGCGCGCTCTGTCAGACGGGCCAGCGAAATCCGCCATCTGTTCTCCTCCGTTCGACATGCGCCCCCCACCCTGACGATTTTCTAGGGTTTCTCGCTGTTCGGCTTCCGCCATGCGTTCTTCCCGCGTTTCATCGTCTAGTCGCGAATACACGTCGCCGGCGACCCCCCCCGAAGGCACGAAGCAAACGGCCTCTAGCGGCAAGCAGCCGGGTGAACAGCTGGGCTGGCGGCCGGCCATTCTGACGGCGGGCCGTCAGGGGTAACGGAGACCTGTTACTACGTACTCTGAACCGTAGCGGCAAATGTGCTGGCAGGGCGAAGCGAGTGGTTTTGCCGAAACAGCGGAATAGGAAATGGTGAACGTTCTTCGGATATGTCCTACCCCGTGTGAGCTCACTGGGTTTCAGCTATTATTCGACAGCTGGGCTTGTCAAATTAGCGGCACTTTCGCTGATGTGCACGTACAGTATCTTCTTGACCGTTGACCGTGTGTGGGATGGGAGGAGCGAAACAAAACGCATTCCTACATTGCGTGGTGGGACGTGATGGGGGGACGGGACCAGCGTGGCGGTGCGGGATCAGTGCAAACTGGGGGGGTGACGGTTGGAATTGCCATGCGAAACGAGTGGTGTGACAACGACATTCCGTTACCTTCATGGAGTTTGTTATGAATAATAACTCAGAGTGCGCGGAATAATAATGACGAGTACAAGAAGGATAGCCTAGCATTATATAGCGAGTGCTCTAGCTAGGCGACGAGCCCGGAGGGCTAGGTTGGGTACAGGCGCGGTCGAAAGGGTCGGAGGCGGCGCGGGCGTGCCTTGGGGCCGCGTCAGAAACGGACCGAGCCTGGTCTGCCGAGAGTTCGGGTGTACGCGATTGCAGTACAACCCGGTAAGGAATAAAATTCCTTACACTACCCCCCCCCCTAAGGAAGGTGATCAACATCGGGAACGCCTTTTCGGGTCAAATAAGATTTGAGCACCGAGTGTTCTTGAAGCGAGTCGGAAGGGACCCAGGTGTCGTATTCGCTTGTACGGTCAACACAGCGAACAAGAAAATCCACGTGGCGACCAGTGGAGTCGAGGCGGACGCGATGACTCAAAAGCCGGAAAGGCTCAAGTGTCGGTTCAGCCATCGGGCGGACACTTGGGGCGGCCGCTGGGCGTGCGACTGCAGACGTGCTGGCGACGTAGGGACGAAGCAGGCTGACGTGGAACGCGTCGTGAATGCGCCACTCGTCCGGAAGTAATAATTTCGCTGTGACAGGTGTCACCATCTTGACAATACGAAAAGGTCCACAGAATCGCGGGCGAAGTTTTGAAGGCAGGGGCAGGCGAAGGTTCTTTGTGTCGAGAAGGACTAGTTGCCCTGCAGCCATGATGATATCGCGGCGATGAAGATCTGTATAGCGGCGGGCGGTTGTGTTGGACTTGCGAATGAATTCGATCGCTTTTTCGCGGGCCGCCTGCAAACTGTTCACGAACTGCTGGGAACGTGGCACTGGGTTGTCGATGTTGGTAGTCGTCGGGACTGTCGGATCCATGCTGTAGTTTAGAAAAAACGGCGAGTGATTAGTCGTGGCGGATGGGGCATTGTTGTACGAAAATTCCAGCATGGGCAGGAATTCTTCCCACCGGGCAAGATCCGGGCAGTTGGTGCGTATCAGCTGCTCCATAGTTTGATTGGTTCGCTCTGTCTGTCCGCCGGTTTGAGGATGGTAGGCGGAGGAAAACTGGAGGCGTGTGCCGTACTGCCCCCATGTCTCCTGCCAGAACTTGGACGTGAATTTTGGGTCGCGGTCGCTGATGATCGCTGAGGGTATGCCGTGCAGGCGAACAACGGTGGAGATGAAAAGCTTCGCTGTATCTTCGGCTGTGATTGTTGTGCGACAGGGTGCGAAGTGTGCCATCTTCGTCAGACGATCGACGACGACCAGGACGGCGTCGTTGCTCGTGGCAGCGGCTGGGAGCCCCGTGACAAAGTCCATCGTCACATGTTGCCATGGTCGCTGGGGTGGCTCGAGCGGTTGCAGCAGTCCAGCTGGCCGCCGTCGGGAAGACTTCATTCGTTGGCAGATCGGGCACGCGGATACGTATCTCTGCACATCAGGCGCCGAATCAGGCCAATAATAAAAACGGTGAAGTAACTTCTGGGTTTTATCAACCCCAAAATGACCGGAGAGGTTAGAATCGTGGACTTCTTGAATAAGTAATTCGCGGAGGAGTTTGTAGGCGGGAACCCAGATGCGGTCAGTACATGCTTTTAGAAAGTAGGGTCCTTTGGCTGTGGTGGCTTGTTGGTGGTGGTTGCGGGTGAAAAAGGGGTCTGTGGTATAGCCTTGGGTAAATAGGCCAGTGAGCAGCGGGTTGGATTTTGCGACGATGATTGAGGCGAGGTGGGCGGATGGTCTTGTTCGCGCGTCAGCGATGTTATTCGCTCCCCGTTTGTACGTGATGGTGTAGTGGAAGTTGCTTTCGAGGAAGTCCAGCCAGCGAATCTGCCGTGGATTTAGATTCGGCTGCGCGCAGAGGTACTGTAGGGATTTATGGTCTGTCCGTACTGTCACGTCGGCTCCCGTCAAGTAGCATCGCCACACCTTGAATGCGTGCACGATGGCGAGCATTTCTTTGTCGTGGACGGGGTAGTTGCGCTCGGCTGTCTGCAACTTCCGAGACTCATACGCGATGGGTTGGAGTCCGTCGCCGAAATCTTGTAACAGTATCGCACCGATGGCGAAATCGCTAGCGTCCGTCAAGACTTCGAATGGTCGAGATGGGTCGGCGATTCGGAGGACCGGGGGCGACGTCAGAGAATTTCGCAGTTCATCGAAAGCAGTCTGCTGTCTCTCCCCCCATTCAAACAAAGTGCCCTTCCGCAGCAGGTCAGTTAACGGTCCGGTTATCCCTGCCATATTGGGGATAAACCTCCGGACATAATTAACGAACCCGAGAAAACTCTGCAGCTCCTGTAAATTCGTCGGCGGCTTCCAGTCGCGAATCGCTATGATTTTTTTCGGGTCGATTTTTATGCCGTCCGCTCCCACGACATGTCCCAAAAATTCCAGTTCGGATTTTAGGAACTCGCACTTGGAGCCCTTCGTGATGAGCCGGTTTTCTTGCAGCCGCCGGAAAACTTGCTCAAGGTCCTTGAGGTGCTGTTCCTGTGTCTTGCTGTAGATCAGAATGTCATCAAGATAGACGATGATACACTTGTCGAGCAGGTCTCGGAATACGCCGTTCATGGTGAGTTGGAAAGTGGAGGGCGCGTTCGTGAGGCCAAACGGCATCACTGTGTACTCGTAGCTGCCATAGCGGGTTCGGAACGCCGTCTTGTGGCAGTCGTCAGCGAAGACTCGGATCTGATGGTAACCGCCGCGTAAGTCGATTTTCGAGAAGAAGCGAGCTCCGCGAAGTTGATCGAGAAGATCGTCCGCGCGTGGGATTGGGTAGCAGGACTTGATTGTTCGTCGATTTAGCGCCCTGTAGTCGATGCACATTCGCAGCCCGCCGTCTTTTTTGGGCGTGAACAGGATGGGTGCTGCGAACGGGGAGGTGCTGGGCCGAATGAACCCCTTCTCCAAGTGGTAGTCCAGTTGGCTTCGCAACTCCGTGAGCTCCGGCTGAGTCAGCCGCCACTGGGTCCTGACTGTAGGCTGCGCGCCGGGTTCCAGGTCAATTTTGTGGTCCTGGGGGCGCTCAGGTGGCAGTCCTGCTGGCAGATCGTCCGGAAAAATATCCGAGTACTGTCGAATCAGCGCGGCGAGCTCGGCAGGGACACTGGCACAAAGTGTGTCAATGTCCTTTGGCGTGTCGTCGACCGTCGCATCGGCCAGGTGGACGGCGTACAAGTCAGCCCCTTTTTTAACCGCTCGCTGGAAGGTGATGGCGTTGACACGTGTCGACACCGGATCTCTCCCACGCCAGGTTGGAAGTACGCGCCACCCGTTCGCACAGTGTACGCTGCATTCGCCAGTTGTCCAGTCGATCCTCGGATTGTATTTTCGCAGCCAATCACGCCCAAGTAGAATGTCGCAGCCGTCCAGCGTCGTGGCCAGCATGGGCATGCTGAATCTGAAGTCTTCGCCACACTTCATCCGCACCATGCGCGCTCGTTCTCTAATTGCAAGTGGAGTTCCGTCCACCAGTCGCGCGTCGATTTCGGGAAGACATTTTTCCAACATCAGCTTCAACTGCTTCGCTGTTGTCACGTGTATGAGACTGTGACTAGCTCCGCCATCCACAAATAACTTTATTTTTTTGCCGTTAACCTTGCCTTCTACCAGCACAGGGTGATCTTCAGGTTCGCTCCCGTTATTCGTCCGAGTGCGGTCGATAGCGTGTATCGGTACCACAACTTGGTGGGAACGCTGAAGTTCGGGCGACAAAGCCTCGTCAGTAGGGGGCTCGTCTGCTACTGACTTTTCCCATTTCCCGGCTTCTCCTTGTCGTTCTTCGTCTTCTTGGGCGCCGTCGGGCAGTACTTAGCTCGGTGACCTGGCTTGTCACATCGAAAACATAGCCCGTGAAATATTTCATCGGGCGCTGACACGCCATTGATCGTGGGGCGGGGAGACTGTCCACGAAAACGACCAACATCCCTGTTGTTCTTTCTCGCCCACTGCTGCAGTGCATCGGCTGCTGACGCCAGCTGGACGGCTTCATCGAACGTCTTGGGACGGGACCGCTGCAACTCGTATTGAATATCGAAATGCAGCCCGCTAACGTATTTGTCCCGTCTTTCCGCTTCGCTGAGGTCGTCGACTTGGTCCGCAAGTGCCGAGAACGACGCAGTGTAATCTTGAACAGTAGTCACCTGCCGCCAGTTGCGCAGCTTCATACGAGCGTCGTCTGAGGCGGATGAATGCTCAAAACGAGCTCGCAGAGCTGTGCCCCACTGTTTCCACGTGCGAATCGTGGTCGTACCGAATATTGTTTCTGCCTGTTGGTTTGAAGAGTCTGAAGTCCCGTCCTTCGCCTGCTTCACTCCTGCCGGAGTCCCAATCGCCAACTGTCGTCGCCACCAATCCAACGCCGGTCCTCGGAGCAGCGACACGGCATAATTAATGCGCGCATCATCGGTGTGCACACTTGCCGCCGTGAAGAACAGCTCCATGCTGAACAGCCACCCTTGCACCGTCGTCGCCTTGTCCGAAGGGTTGAACGGGGGCGGTGTTGCTGGCTTGAGTTTAATCTTCGTTACGATCACAGTACGCACGTCGTCCTGCTCCAACTCCCGTGCGAGCTCGCCAAGGACGGTTTCGCTCGCTGCGTCGTCGGCACTTTGCTTGACCTCGTCTTCGGCGACTCCAGGCGACTCCTGACGCGCTTCACCACGCGTCTGGCGAAGCTCGGTGTTCTCCGTCCGAAGTTTCACGACTTCACTGTTCAAACTCGCCATCTGGGCTTGCATTGCCTGCATCTGAGCCATGACCTCGTCTAGCTGGGCCTGGGACATGATGCGAATGCTACGCCTTTCGGGCAGGGGGAAGGCCGTGGTAAGAAACCGTAGGGGGCGCAAACGCTATCGTAGTTGTGTGAGCTAATAACTCTAGCTCACGGACAACCGCTTTGCAGCCCCGCAGGGTTAACCACGCCTTGGAAATAAACTACCCTGAGAAAGCGGGGTGAACCAGGAAAGTAGCTCTGATACCAGATGTTATGAATAATAACTCAGAGTGCGCGGAATAATAATGACGAGTACAAGAAGGATAGCCTAGCATTATATAGCGAGTGCTCTAGCTAGGCGACGAGCCCGGAGGGCTAGGTTGGGTACAGGCGCGGTCGAAAGGGTCGGAGGCGGCGCGGGCGTGCCTCGGGGCCGCGTCAGAAACGGACCGAGCCTGGTCTGCCGAGAGTTCGGGTGTACGCGATTGCAGTACAACCCGGTAAGGAATAAAATTCCTTACAGAGTTACAGGAAATTAGTGCTGTACATGCTCAATAGCTTCATTAGCAACTAACTGATGGGATGGGATGGCAGGGGCATTGGATCTCATGCATTAGCGCTTATTGAAAAAATTGTAGATAGCAGATAATATGAAACCAAGGACAGCACTTTAGCGAATCCAAGGAAATCACTCGCTCATCCTCGACATTTGCCTCCAAAACTCACAACCCAAAATCTTCACGGTGTTTTCGCCCATCTATGTAGATGCTGTGAAACTGGAGTGGAAAGGAGTGGCTCAGGCGCAAATCCAGCGCGCTGATTGGGTAATCGTGCACGTCGCCCCCCATCCGGGCAGAGCGCTGCTGCCCGCTCTTCCGCGATTCGCAGAAAATCGCTGCCCAAATAAAATGTGGGTGTAGTGGGGTGCTGCAGACTGGAACAGCGTGATGAAAAAAGCCCCAATCCCAAAACGTGCAATGAAACTAGCCAAATTCGCGCTAGGGTGCCGTAATGGCCCTACTCCAAGCTTTACTGGAGCGTATGGTATTTTATGGGCTGTTGAGCTACAGTAGTGTGGAATAACCTCCACCCAGATGCTGCTGAGCTGAGCCGAGTGGCAATGTACAGTATGTAGTGGAGGAATTTAGGAGGCATCCATCTGTCCATGCCTTAGTGGTTCGGGTCGGAATATTTATGCTCTGGACTTTCTGTACTTCCTGCTGTGCATGCTCGCTCTCTCCCCGTGCATTGCGCGCTCCACGCCGGCATTCCCAAGGTTATGTGCGGCCGTGGGTCAAGAGTTCCACGCGCGGATAAGCCGCTTGGCTTCCCTCATCCACGTCGCCTCGTGCTTTCAAGTTAACGTAGACGGATTCCGTTTACGCCCGCGTCTCGTCATCCGGCAGTTTCTGCGCTCGATCTGCTCATTCCGCTGCTCTGTTGACCTGCCTTTGCTCCTTCGCGGATCACGCCCTACTACTACCGCACAATCACGCGCTTACTCCTCTCCGCGTGAACCTGCACGTTCCGCCCGTCTGTGATCGCACGCGGACCAGACACACCGGACCCACATTGGCGCGTTCGCTCGTTCCGGAGCCCACCACTCCGCCATGGCCAGCAGTAGCGGCGGCGGCGGGAGCGGCGGAGGCAGTGCGCGGTCGGTGCGCGAGCTCAAGAGCATGTTCGGAAAGCCTGCCGCGCCGTCAGCCGCCGCTTACGTCAGCAAGCTGCAGGCCGTGACGGCTAAGGACCAGCCCGGGGGCCAGGGTGGCGGAAAACCGGCGGAGGATTCCCCCCTCTCCGCGGCGCAGCAGGCGTTCCGCTCCCCCTCGCCGCTGGCGCTTCCCCACCAGCAGGAGAAGGGGATTCCGGCCAGCGCCTCGCTTCCGCCAAATGCGCGTTCCGCCTCCCCTTCCCCCATCCCCGCGCGCACCATCCTCACCACCCCTTCCCAGCTCGCCCCCCAGCCTTCCCCCTCCCAACCCGCTGTCAGCAGCAAGCCTGCAGCGGGCGCGGAGGAGCGGGGCGGAGGCGGAGGGGCAGGCGGAAGGGAGGCGGGGACGGCTAGCGCGGTGCACACACAGGTGAGGGACCGGGGAGAGAGCAGAATCTGATGAGTGCACCTAGGCACGCTCTAGGCACCGTCCCTCCGCCCCCCCCCCCCCCGCCCCCCCTGCAGCTGAGCAGCGACCAGGCAGTCCGCCTGGAGCAGGTGGAGGAGAGCGTGGAGGCCACCAGGTACGAGCTGATCCGCTTCCGTTCCTCCGTTCTCCTCCCCCTCTCCCCCAATTCCCCCTCTCCCCCAATTCCCCCTGCCAGCTGAGCAATCATCAAGCAGTCCGCCTGACGGAGGGGGGGGCGAGCCTGGAGGCCACCAGGTACGAGCTGACCCTCACCCGTTCCGCCTTGCCAACTACGACCACGCCATTCCCCCGTGCCCTCCGTCCGCCCTTTCTGCCAGCTGAGCAGCGACCAGGCAGCGCGCCTGAAGCAAGCAGAGGAGAGCCTCGAGGCGACCAACTACGAGCTGGCGGCGCTGCGGGCGAAGCACAACGAGAAGACGGCGCGGCTCAAGGCGCTGCAGGAGAGCAATGTGACGCTCAAGCACAAGGCCAAGGGGCTGGAGGTGAGTGAGCCACGTGGCATTCTGTGGGTGAGTAAGCCACGTGGCACTGCTGCAGCTGAGACACGTGGCACTGCTGCATTAGAAAACGCACTGGAGACGGCCCATGGCAGGGGTAGCGTTTCACGTTCACCCCACCACCTATCTCCACTCTCTCCTCCCATCTCCTCGCCTGGCGTCCTCTCAGGCTACCCTAACGGCGGCAGAGGCCGAGATAGCTCGATTCGAGGAGGAGAAGGAGGAGGTGCGGAGGAGGGTGGAGGAGGAGGAGGCGGGGAAGCGGGAGGCGGCCGTGCACAGTGCCCTGGAGCGGCAGCAGGAGGAGCGAATCGCCCCGCTGCAGTCCGCGCTAGAGACGCTGGACGCCGCCCATGAGGGCGCGATGAAAGAGCTGGTGCTGCTAAGAGAGTCTTTTAAAGCGGCGGTGGAAGAGGGTAAGCATTTGCGGGCGAGGCAGGCGGAGGGGGAGGCGCAAGTGGTGGCGCTTAGGGAAATGCAGGAGGTGGTTCTGGGGGACTTGGACTCGTTAAGAGCTCGCCATGATACAGTGTGTAAGGAGTTGGAGGAGGAGAGGGAGGGGAGGGAGAGGGAGAGGGGGGAAGGGAAGGAGTTGAGGGAGAGGGCGGAAAGATTGGAAATGGAGAATGCTAAGTGGGAGGGGAGGATGGCTGAGGAGAGGAGGTTGAGGGAGGAGTTGGGGGGGGAGGTGGAGAGAGAGAAGAGGGGGAGAGCAGAGGCAGAGGGGAGGTTGGAGGCGGCACGGGAGGAGAGAGAGGGGGAGAAGAAGGCGAGAGAGGAGGTGCAAGAGGTGTGTGAGGGGTTGAGGAAGGATATAGAGCGGTTGGAGGGAGAGGTGGGGGCGTTAAAGGCAGGGAGAGACGAGGTGGGGAGGCTACTGGCTGGGGCTGAGGCGGGAAGGGAGGAGGAGGCAAAGGCGGTGGAGCGAGTGAGAGAGGAGAAAGAGGAGGCGGAGAAACAGCTGGGGGGGTTGAGAGAGGAGCACGGGAGGGTACAGGGGGAGCTGGATGCGCTAAAAGAGAAGCACACTAGCAAGGAGGCGGCGTTTGATACGCTAGTGGTGAGCCATGGTGCCATGGCTGCTGCTGTGGAGGCGATGAGGGGCGAGATGGAGGAGAAGGCTCGGCAGGCGGAGGCTGCTGCCAAGACTGCGGACGAGGCTCGGCAGCAGATGCTGGAGGCTCGGGCCGAGGCTGAGAAGGTGCAGGGGGAACTGGAGAAGGTGGTATCTGAGGTGGGGAAGGTGAGGGGGGAATTGGCGGATAGGGAAAAGGAGGTGGGGGAGATGAGGGAGAGGCATGAGAGAGATGCAAGAGAGAGGGGGGAGGAGGTGGAGAGGCAGCTGGGTGTGTTGAGGGGTGAGTTGGAGGAGAGTAGGAAGAAGGGAGAGGAGGTTGAGAAGAGGTTGGGGGAAGAGAGGGAGGCGAGAGAAGAGGCGGAGAGGGCGAGGAGGGAAACAGGGGAGGAGGTGAGGAGAAAGGAAGAGCAACTGGTGACGGAGAGAGAGGAGCGGAAGGGCGACGTGGAGCGGTTTAGAGAGGCACAGGAGCAGCTGGAGGAGAGGAGGAGGGAGGCGGAGGGTGAGGTGATGAGAGTGAGTGAGGAAGTTGAGAGGGTGAGGAGGGAGTGTGAGGAGAGGAGGAAAGAGGCCGAGGAGAGGAGGAGGGAAGTAGAGGTGAAGAGTGAGGAGGTAAGGGTGTTGAAGGGTGCAGTAGAGGCGTTAAGGGAAAAGGAGGAAGTATTGAGAGGGAAGGTGGAGGAGTTGGGGAGAGAGGTGGAGCGAGTGAGGGGGGAGTTGGAGGGAGTGAGAGGGGAGAGGGAGGAGGGGAGGAAGAGAGAGGAGGAGCTGAGGGCGCAGTTAGAAGCAGCGAAGGTGGAAGCTTCCGGGAAGCAAGCAGAGCTGGTGGCGCGAGTTGAAGAGGCGGTGAGAGGGAGAGAGGCGGCGGAGAGAGAAGGGGAGGAGAGGGGGAGGGAGAGAGATGAGGTGAGGGAAGCACTGTGGAAGGAGAAGGGGAGGGTGGAGGTGGGGGAGGAGAGAGTGAGGGGGCTGGAGAGGGAGGTGGAGGAGGTGAGGAGGGGGAGGGAGGAGATGGGAATGAGGGTGGAGCAGCTAGAGAAGAGGTTGGAAGAAGCTGGTGCTGAGGTGGCGGCAGCTCAGGCTGATGTGGCGAAGCGTGTGGATGAGGTGGCGAGGCTGAAGGCTGAGGTGGATAAGGGGGGGGTTGAGCTGGATGGTGTGAGGAAGGAGTTGGAGAGGGAGAGAGAGCAGCACAGGGAGGCACGGGAAGGCCTAGAGGGGTTGAGGGAGCAGCATGGGAAGCTGCAGGGGGAGAAAGAGGGTCTAGCTGGCTTGCACGCAAAGCTGGAGGAAGAGCAGAGAGAGTTGAAGGGGCGGTGGGAGGAGGTGGGGAGGGAGAGGGAGGAGGAGCGAGTAAAACATGCAGCTGCTTTGGCACGGTTGGAAGGGCTGCAGAGGGAGTTAGAGGGGTTGAGAGAGAGCGAGGAGGCGAGGAGGAGAGAGGTGGAGGATTTGAGAGAAAGAGTGAGTGAGGCAGGGAGGGAGTTCGCAGAATGGAAGAGCAAAAGTGCTGAGCTGGAAGAGGGGAAGAGCCAGCTCAGCGCCAGGCTGGCACAGGTAGAAGCTGACCTGGCAGCATCGCTGGCAGCTGCTAAATTGGCAGCAGCAGAGGAGGCGGAGCGGGTGAGGGAAGAGGTCCGGGTGGCTCGGGCCGAGGCTGATCAGCTTCGGGGAGAGGTGGTTCGGCAGACAGCCGAGGCTGAGGCTCGGGAAGAAGCGCGGAGAGTGTGGGAGGGGAAGTATCGGGAGGCAGTGGCAGAAGGGGAGGGGAGGAAGCAGGAAGCAGAGAAGTCAGCTGCTGAGCTGGATAAGATGAAAGCTGAGCTGGCGGTGGCCATGGGTGAGGTGGCAGTGGTGTCAGCTGCGCTGGCAACCGCAAAGGTTGAGACTGAGGGGGTGAGGAAGAAACAGGAGGAGGCAGAGAGGGAGGTGCAACTGGTGCAGGTGCAACTGAGAGATGCGAAGGGGGAAGTGGAGGTGGCAAAACGAGGGATAGTAGAGGCAAGGAGTCTTGGGGATGGGGAGAAGGGAAAGGCAGAGAGCGCTCTGAAGCAAGCAGCAGCGGCGTGGGAGGAGGTGGGGAGGTGGAAGGGGCAGGCAGAGAGGAGCAAAGCGGATGTGGAGTTGCTAGAGAGGGAAGTCAAGGCGCAGGAGGGGAAGATAGAGGCTCTGAGAGGGGAGGTGAGAGAGAGGGAGAGTGAGCTGGCGCTGCTGCAGCAGGAGGTGGAGAGAGTGAGAAAGGAGATGGAGGAAGTGAGTGTGAGGGAGGAGGAGGTGGCAGTAACGGTAAATAGGGTAACTGGGGAGGAGCAGCGGAAGGCTGTTGAGGCGGAGGAGAGGTGTGGGGAGGCGGTGAGGGCGAGAGAGAGGGTGGAGGAGAGAGTGAGGGAGGTGGAGGGGGAGGTGGAGAGAGTGAGGGGGGAGAAGGGGAGGATGGAGGAGGAGCTGGTGAGTGTGAGGGTGAGGATTGGGGAGGCGGAGAGGGAAGTGGAAGAGTTGAGCAAGGAGAGGGAGGAGAGGGGGCAAGAGGTCGAAGATTTGAAGGGGAAGCTGGAAGAAGGGCTCACTGAGGTGGCAGCGCTCCGTGCTGACCTGGCTGCTGTCCAATCCGAGGTGGCAAGCAAGCAGGCTGAGCTGGAGAAGCAGGCATCTGAGCTGGCAGCAGCGAGTGGAGAGCTCGAGAAGGAGAAAGCAGCGCATGCAGTGGTGGCTGCAGAAATGGGAGGTATCAAGTCTCTGTATGCCCTGCTGCAAGAGGAGCATGGGAGAGTGGTATCAGAGCAGGAGAGGCTGGTAGGGGCATATGCGAGGGAGGTGGAGGAGAAGGGGGAGGTGAGGGCAGAGAAAGCAGCACTCGCTGCTAAGGTTGCCGAGATGGAGGCTCGGGTTGAAGTCGTGAAGGAGGAACAGGCTCGGGCGGCTGCCGAGGCTGAGGAGGCTCGGAGCAAAGTCAAGGCCGAAGCTGAGGAGGCTCGGCTGGAGCTGGTTCGGAGGGAGGAGGAAGTGAAGCTGCTGAGGCAGCAGAGAGAGGAGGAGGTTGAAGCATTGAAGCAGCAGCAGCAACAGCAGGAGGAGATTCAAGCATTGAAGCAGCAGCAGCAACAGCAGGAGGAGATTCAAGCATTGAAGCAGCAGCAGCAACAGCAGGAGGAGATTCAAGCATTGAAGCAGCAGCAGCAACAGCAGGAGGAGATTCAAGCATTGAAGCAGCAGCAGCAACAGCAGGAGGAGATTCAAGCATTGAAGCAGCAGCAGGCTGCAGGTGCGAAAGATGCAACCACTTGGAAGAGAATGGCTGACACGCAAGCTGCTGAGCTGGCAACCGTCAAGGCTGAGCTGGCAGCTGCCCATGCTGAGCTGGCCGAAGTGAAGGTGGAACGTGAGGATAAGGTGCGTGAGCTGGCAGCAGCTGCTGACGAAGCAGAGGCGAAGGGGATCGCAGTGAAGGAGAGGGAGGAGATCTGCAGCAAGCTGTCAGCTGAGCTGGAATCGCTGAAGGCTGAGCTGGAAACTCGTAACGCTGAGCTGGCAGCGCTGACAGTAAAAGACGAGGGGATAGCAGCGGCAGTGAGGGAGCAGATACAGGCCCGGAGTGAAGCAGAGGGGCAGGTGAGAGATGCGCAGAGGGAGGTGCAGCTGGTGCAGGCTCAGCTGGGGGAGGTGCGGACTGAGTGTGAGGGGTTGAAGGAGGTTATGGAGAGGCTGGGGAGGGAGGTAGAGGAGGGAGGAGGGTGGTGGGGGAGAGGGAGAGGGAGGTGGAACGGTTAGCGGGGGAGGTGGAGAGGGGGAGGGTTGAGGCTGCAAGGGCTGGGGGGAGAGAGGAGGTGCTGCAAGGGACAGTGGCTGCAATGACTGCGGAGCTGGGTGCTCTGAGGAAGGAGCTTGAGGAAGAGAGGGGAAGGTTCGCCACTCGTGTTGACGCTGCTGCTGTTGCTGCTTCTGCTGACGTGGCGTCGGCTGCTGCGCTGTCGGAATCGCTGCGTGCCAGGCTGGCAGCAGCGGAGGCACGAGAGAAGGAGCTAGAGGCGAGGGTGGGGGAGAAAGAGAGAGAGTTAGTGCAAAGGGTAGAGGAGAAAGAGCAAGAGCTGGTGAAGAAGGTAGAGGAGAGGGAACAGGAGATGGTGAGGAGGGTGGAGGAGGAGGAGGTGAGGGCAGGAGCAGCTGTGAGAGCAGCGGAGCAGAGAGAGAAGCAGCTGGTGCAGAGGGTGGAGGAGGAGGAGGCAAAGGCGGCAGCGGCGATGGCAGGAGGGGAGGCAGCGGTAGCAGAGGCGGGCGCTCTGAAAGCCGAGCTAGAGGCAGTGCGAGCAGAGCTGGAAGCAGCACAAGGAGAAGCGGAGGCTAGGGAAGCAGAGTTGAAGGCAGCACAAGCCGAGGCAGAGTCAACGAGGGGCGCGCTGAGAGCAGCGCAGGGAGAAGCGAAGGCAGTGCAGGCGCAAGTGGCGGTGCTGACAGCGGACGGGGAGCAGCTGAGGGACGCCTTGGGGGAGGTGAGCCGGATGAAAGAGGCCCTGCAGGGGGAGGCGAAGGCTGTGCAGGGACAAGTGGCAGCGCTTACTGCCGATGGGGAGCAGCTGAGGGACGCGCTGGGCGAGGTGCAGCGGCAGCTGCGCGTGATGACCCGGCTCAAGGAGGCCCTGGAGGGCGAGGTGAGGAAGTGGCGCGAAGAGGCGGTGATCCGACAGAAGGTGGAGGGCGAGGGGGAGAGTGGACGGGGGGAGAGAAGGGTGAGTGGCATGTGGCGCAGTGCCATCGATGGCGCTCTCCTGCTGCAGCAGCACGGGCAGCAGCATCAGCAGGGGCAGCAGCAGCAGCAGGGGCAGCGGAGGCTGGTATCGAGCATGTCAGTTGACAGCACCCAGCTACAGCGACATCTGCCACAGAGCACCAGTGGAGATGCTCTTACTCCTGCTCCACCTGCTGCTGCCCCTGCCCCAGTTATCACCTCCACTTCAGATGCACCTACCCCAGGCGGCACTACCACCAGCACCTTAACTGCAGCAGCTGCACCTACAGCAGCAGCAGCCTCCCCTGCCGCCTCGCTGCCACCTCGCCCCACCACTCCAGCCTCGGCTCCTCCCAAGGTCTCCCATGGCTCCCAGCCCGTCCCACTGCTCGCCCTGCCTACTCACGCCGCTGCCTCTCCTAGTAACACCATTGGGACGTCTCACCCAGACAACCACCCAGCTGCTGCTGCTGCTGCTGCTGCTGCTGCTGCGGATGGCACAGCAGCAGGTGCAGGCCCAGGCCCAGGCTCAGAGCACGTGTCCGCGGAGCAGGTGATGCTGCGTGCAGGTGCTCCAGTGGTGGGAGAAGGTGATGTGATTGGAGGAGGCATTCGCCCGGATACCGCTGCCTCCGCCCCTCACCCGGCCACTCCCGCCCCTGCCACGCCAGTCGTCCCTCCCACTGCGCCCAGCCCGCACACCATTCCTCACTCTGCGACAGCCTCTCGCAGTGGCTCCCTCACTCCCACCCTCGGCTTCACCCATTTCATCCATCGCGCAAAGACCGAGTCTAGCAAGGCCCGCCCCTCCTCAGCTGATTTCTCCTCGGTTGTAAAAGCGGTTCGACTTGCCTCGGCCTTCCGTAGCCCTGGGAAAGGCAACGCCAGCCCTGCAGGTCAGGGAAGCCCAAGCCGGAGCCACAGGCCCGGGAGCCCAGGTACGGCGAGTGCAGGGTCGAAGGCAGGTAGTAGTGGGGGAGGGACGCTGAGGAGGATTGGCACGGGGATGGTGGGACGGTGGAGAGGTGGGGGTCACAGTGGTGGTTTAGCCACTGGGGTCAGTGGTGCAGAGCCCCAGGCTGATTCAGAGGATGTTCAGCCTGCATCTGCACCTCACAGTCAGAGTGATCTGCACTAGGCCTTGGTCGCAGGAAGTCAATACTTGTGCCAAGTTTAGTTGGTAGGTTGGCTGAGTTGGTTAGCCTTACATTGTGGTTTGTGACTTGATACAGTGTTGGGTCGTATGGTAGCGAAAACCCTAGTGTGACGGGTAGAATGTAGGTCAAATTTTTATTGTGATTTGATGTAGTATTGTAGTATTACTATATTTCGTCCACTGAAGTCCTGTCGTGGTTTTACCTCTTTAACGAATCACTCACTGAGTCGCTCAGGGTCTGGAGAGAACTCCTGGATTCTGGCGCGCGGTTCGCATGGCGGCTGCTGACTTGGCCACTTCGGCGGGAATTTACAACTGACCGTGCTTGGCTAGAGCCTTTGAGTTGCTGGTGTCCAGCACGTTGGATTTACGCGATCGCTGGCTCCACGCGCTCTCCTGTGGACAAGGAAGATTTTGTCGGAACCCCACACCTGCCCGAACCCTGAACCCAAGGTGCCGTTTACGGGTGTCGTTGGTGGATTCGCAGATGTTCCCTTCCGTCCCATTCCGTTCCGCTCGCTCCAGCTCCCAGGGCTGCGGAAAACACACCACCACCACCACCATCACGCCCTCTTGACCTGGATTCAAGTTGCGGACGGCACCGCGTTATTGGTTTCGGTTGGGCGTCCTTCCAGTTTCGTTTTGTTCCAAGCACGGGCAGGCAGCGCCGCAGCGTCCGCCATAGCAGGCCTCTGCTCCGCTGTACATGTGACTGTCGTCTCGTCGTCAGCCAGCCTCTTTGCCTCAGCTCAGCTCATCCCTGGCCGACAAGCCGAAGGCACATGCTGCTAAGCTGGTCATTTATCTACAGCGGAAGCAGTGCTACTAATAGAGGTCCATATATTTCCTTCATTCCAGCTTCAGCTTGGAGATTCAACACTAGAGAATAGTTTAAATTCCTCCGACTGATATACTTCTTTGGGATTCTCACGTCGCTGAGGCTACGTGTATTTGGAGTTTTAGGGTCCGACAATAAACCTTAGCTTAGCATGTTGGGCGGCTTTCGAATTCCTCTAGGGCTTATCCCAGCGTCGGTGTCTTTAGCCGCGATAGCTCTAACAGCTGCAGCTTTCAGCGACAAATACCAAACGCTACTTAAGTGGCTTCCGTGGCCTCTATCCGCGGTGCTAGCGACTTTTAGGGAAGGGAAGAAAAGATTAGGGATGACCGACGCGCGACGACGGCCCGTGCGAGTGTACATGGACGGGTGCTTCGACATGATGCACTACGGCCACGCGAACGCGCTGCGACAGGCGAAGGCGCTCGGCGACGAGTTGGTGGTCGGGGTGGTGTCGGACGAAGAGATCCTCTTGAACAAGGGCCCGCCCGTCGTGTCGCTTGAAGACAGGTGCGCTCTCCGGCCGGTGCCGTCTTTTTAATCGTTAAAAGGGAAAATACAGACTTAGAGACAGGTGAGGTCAATCTTACCTCTTCGTCGCTGTTCGGCGCAGCAGCCGGATCATCGCTGCTTTTCCCAGCAGCCGGATCATCGCGGTGCTGGGATCTGGAGGAGGCCTCCTAATCTCTTCATCTGTCCGACCTCTCCGTGCTACCCCCACACTCTTCCCCCACTCCCACACGCGCCCCCACCCCCATCCCCACCCCCACCAACACCCGCACCTCCCTTCGTGCTGCATCACGCCGGCCTCCCTCAACACCCTCTTCCCGCAGCACCGCGTCTTGACGCCCCTCACGACACCCTCTCCCCCCCCCTCCCCCCTCCTCCCCCCTCTTCCCCCCGCGCTTCCCCAATGCAGGGTGCGCATGGTGCGCGAGGTGAAGTGGGTGGACGAGGTGGTAGTCGGCACGCCGTACTGCATCACCCCCGACTTCCTGCACCGCCTCTTCACGCGCCACGGCGTCGACTTCATCATCCACGGCGACGACCCCTGCCTGCTGCCCGACGGCTCCGACGCGTACGCGGAGGCGAAGCAGGCGGGGCGGTACCTGGAGGTGAAGCGCACGGAGGGGATCTCCAGCACGGATATCGTGGGGCGGATGTTGTTGTGCGTGGGGAGCAGGGCGGCGGCGACAGAGGCGCAGCAGCAGCAGTCGCTGGAGCGGGAGTTTGTTCACACGGGGTCGCCCGCAGAGAGGTGTCACCGCAGTGGGTCGCCCGCAGAGAGGTGTCACCGCAGTAGATCGCCCCCAGAGAGGTGTCACCGCAGTGGGTCGCCCGCAGAGAGATGTCACCGCAGTGGATCGCCCGTAGAGAGATGTAACCCTTCTGGGTCGCCCGCAGAGAGATGTAACCGTTCTGGGTCGCCCTCGCTCCCTTCTCGCCCCGCCTCCCCGCTCCCACCGCCGGCTATATCCTCCTCCTCCGCCCCTCCTGTGCCATACTCACCCCTGCGACCCTCTCTCCTTCCGCCCTCCTCCTCCTCCCCAGCCCTTGCGTGCTCGCCTCCCCCTCCGTCCTCTGCTCCCCGCTCCTTGCCTCTTGATACTGAACCCGGCTCACCACCTTCAAGCGCCCCTGCCGATCCCCCCTCCCCATCAGCTCTCCCCCCTCCTCCCCGACCCACCCCTCCAACTCATCTTTGCCCCTACTCTCGCACTCCCCTCCGCCACTAACACCGGCGCTACCCCCCTCCCCTTCCGCCTCATCCCTCCCCTCCTCCGCCTCCTCCAATTCCCTCTGGGCCCTCTCCTCCCCCTCCTCCTCCTCCGCCTCTTCCCCGCTCCTTCCCCCTCCCTCGCGCCCCTGGCCTCTGCGCGCGTCTCGCGCTTCCTCCCCGCCACTTCCACCGTCCTCGAGCTAAGCAGCCAGCAGGTGGGCTTTTGGAAAAGGGAAAAGGAGGGGGGGGGAGGGAGGGGGAGAAGTTGGAGGCTGAGGGGGGAAGACGGGTAGGAGGTGAGGATGGGAGGGCGGCAAAGTAAGGCCGTTCTCGAATTAAGAAGCCAGCAGGCTGGTTGGGGGGGTTTGGGTGGGGGAAACGGTTGGGAGGTGAGACTGCGAGTTGGAAAACAGGGGTGGCAAAGTGAAGGCTTTCTTAGTACTTCTCCCCTGTCACCATCTCCTTCCGTGCCTCCTCTGCCGCCCTCATATCCCCACCCTCTACTTTCTCCCCCTCCGCCCCCCTCCCCTCCCCCAGCCGTGCAGTGTTGGCCCATCAGCGCGAGTGGTGGTGGATTGATCCATGCTCCTCTGTTCCCTCACTCCGCTTACCCGACCTCCCCCCACATTCCCCCCTCTCTCCCCCCACATTCCCCCCTCTCTCCCCCCAGGCGCACAGCATAGACCCATCAGCGCGAGTGGTATACATCGATGGGGCGTTCGACGTCTTCCACAGCGGCCATGTGCAGGTGGGGGTCGTGCATGTGCAGTTGTTTCGTGTTTAGGGCTCATGCATGTGCCGGAGTTGGGGTTTTAGGGCCCACGCATGTGCTGGGGCTTGGGGTTTAGGGCCCACGCATGTGCTGGGGCTTGGGGTTTAGGGCCCACGCATGTGCGGGGGGTTGGGGTTTAGCGCCCATGCATGTGCAGGTGCTTAGGGTATAGGGCTCATGCATGTGCTGGTGGGCTCAGTTACATGCCTTTCCAGATTCTTTCCACGCATCAGGGGCATGCGTTCACCTCCCCTCTGCTCATTCCCCATCCATGCCCCCTACCCATGCCCCCATTGCAACCAGACACTCCGAGCAGCGAAGGGACTGGGCACGTTTCTGCTGGTGGGCGTGCACAGTGACGCCACCGTCAGAGCCAACCGCGGGCAGCACCACCCCATCATGGGCATGCATGAGCGCTGCCTCTCGCTGCTGGCGTGCCGCAGCGTGGATGAGGTCGTGCTGGACGCCCCGTGGGTGGTGTCCAACGAGCTGGTGAGTCCTGGTTGTGCTGGTGTCTACTGGTAGTGTCCACCCCATGATGGGCATGCACGAGCGCTGCCTGTCTCTTCTGGCGTGCCGCAGCGTAGATGAAGTCGTGCTGGACGCCCCGTGGGTCGTCTCACACCAGCTGGTACGTATGGCCTTCGGGTGCTTGCTGTGCCATGGTGCTAGCAGGCGTGTGGGCATGTGGGCATGTGTGCATGTGCGCATGTGGGCATGTGTGCATGTGCGCATGTGGGCATGTGTGCACGTGGGCATGTGGGCATGTGGGCATGTGGGCATGTGGGCATGTGGGCATGTGGGCATGTGGGCATGTGCGCATGTGGGCATGTGGGCATGTGGGCATGTGGGCATGTGGGCATGTGCACATGTGCACATGTGGGCATGTGGGCATGTGCGCATGTGTGCATGTGCGCATGTGCGCATGTGCGCATGTGCGCATGTGGGCATGTGTGCATGTGGGCATGTGGGCATGTGTGCATGTGGGCATGTGTGCATGAGTGCATGTGGGCATGAGTGCATGTGTGCATGCTCTGCCCGTGTCATACCCTCGCAAAGCATGTCTCTGTTTCTGTGCTGCTCTCTGCTGCTCTGCATTCTCCAACTCTCATTCCGCTCTTGCACTTGTGCGTGCATGGCGGTGCAGATATCACCTGATTAATCGCTTGCTGTGCACGGGACATTTATTTAGGCACCTGATTAATCGCTCCACTCCATTTTGTTCCTTTGCCGGGCAGATATCAGCGTATAACATCTCCCTCGTTGTGCACGGGACTGTGGCCGAGTCAAACCCTCTCTGTCAGGTACGCACGCTTCACGTCTCCGCCTCTGTCCCCCCCTGCCCGCCATCCCTATGCCCCATCTCCCCTGCGCCATGCGCTGTGCCCCATGCCCATGTTGCCCCATTCCCCATGCCCCGTGCCCCATGCCCCATGCCCATGCCCCATGCCCCATGCCCATGCGGCATGCCCCATGCCCCATGCAGCATGCCCCATGCCCCATGCCCCATGCCCCATGCCCCATGCCCCATGCGCCATGCCCCATGCCCCATGCCCCATGCCCCATGCGCCATGCGCCATGCCGCCATGCCCCATGCCCCATGCAACCATGCCCCATGCCCCATGCCCCATGCCCCATGCCCCACGCCCCATGCCCCACGCCCTATGCCCCATGCCCCATGCCCGATGCCCGATGCCCCATGCCCCATGCCCCATGCGCCATGCGCCATGCCCCATACCCATGCGCCATGCGCCATGCCCCATGCCCCATGCCCCATGCCCCATGCCCCATGCCCCATGCCCCATGCCCCATGCCCCACGCCCCAC